ACAGGACACCGAATTCAGCATATCAGATATCAGCTTGAATAGCTACACATCTTCGTATACAAGTACAACCCCGACTTCAGCACAGGGAGGGAAAAATAAAACCGAGAGGGCAATGAATGCACATTTCTACTGGGTCACGAGGGAGCCAGGATCCTTCGAATGGTTTAGGGGAGTAATGGAGGAAATATCAGATATGGACTGCAGAGTAATAAACACAGTTTATTATTTATTTCTGTCACTACCTACCAGACATTTGATATCAGACCTGTAGTATATCTCAGTATTTATTCATCTTCTCCTGGAACAGGGCCAAATTGAGCTGCACAACTACCTGACAAGTGTATATGATGAAGGTGATGCTAGATCAACACTGATAAAGATGGTCCAAGCTTTGAACCATGCCAGACATGGAGTTGATATCCTATCCGGAACTCGGGTAAGAATCCGTTCAAAGGTTATAAATAGACAGATTTTTGGTCAATATTACCTCGTCTTCTGTACATGAAACAAGAACATCTTTTCAAGCAGGTAAGAACTCATTTTGCAAGACCCAACTGGAAAGAAGTCTTCAGCAGCATAGCAAGAAAGCATCCAAATTCAACAATAGGTAAATATCTTCACATAGATGTAAACTAAGGAAGCCACTAGAATATAAGAAAAGCTATCCATTGTCATTCTGGGACAATTTACCTTCTGGAAAGCAAAGAGCTTCAGGCCAAGTTCTTGATGGCAAAACCATCAAGCCATCCGATAACCCATTTCTTCTAAGACTATTAGAAAACCAAATATTGCTCATAATGGCAAGACTACAGTCACAAAGTCACAGATCAATACTGCCAAATCTAGCACTTACTGATAACTTTATCAACCCGAGCTTTAAGAAGGATTCATGAGATCCAGTTGTTGTGCTGTGCAGGAGTGTTTTACTGTGGCATTCCTACAGTTGCGAAGGAATTAAAGGAGCTAGCCCAAGACATGACTCACAAAACAACCACAAGGTTCGAGTTCCACAAGGAGCATTTCTAAATCAAATATACAAGCCAGGGAGGGGCGTATCACGTAACTTGTGAATTAATCATGACTCATGAGAGCAATATTCTTTTTATACTAACTACAATGGCTTAGGCTATAGATACACACGTGTGTATAGTTTGCCAAAGGGCATGAAAAGAACGAGATAAATCATTATACAAATAATACATACACTTATGGCTTTCAGGAGAGACGATAGATCTATTTTGATAACAAAAACATCCAAAAACAAGAAGGTATGTTGATTGAAAGACGAGAACAACAAAATCAATGCGACCCAAATGGGTGATTTCTGAAAAAAAAAACCCCAAAAATCTATGACCAATTCCCTCATCCAAAGAGTGTGCCATTGGGAATTCAAGGCATATGTCCTAATTCATCCACCGAAAATAAAGAACACCTCTTGATTCTTCTTCTTGCCCTAAAAAATTGGACACAACACGATGATAACCAAGAGAAACCAACGTTTCGTGAAAATCAGTGCACTTAGAAGGGGTAAAAAAGTATGCTGCACTAATTTCGAAACGTTTTCCAAGCAAATTCCCAGTGTTTGATTCCGAATGGAGGAGTTTCCAATCATAGAGTTTTACATAAACATAGCTACTCTTATAATCAATCTCAACGATGTTATACGTAGAAATGGAATCCCAGGTTCCGCAACCCCAAAATTTCAAACAGGAAGAAAAAAGTTCGAGAGAAGAACCAAGTTTACCTCGAAGATCTGGCGGCTAGAGCGCGAGATCCATCGTACGACATCAAATTTCTGGTGCCTCGTGTGTTTCTGGATCAGATTAACTGCAGATTCGGGTAGTGGAGATGAAGAAGAAGATAAAGAGGAAAGATCGCATCTCCGGCTATCATGCTGCAGAACTTCTGCAAATCCTCCATTCGCGGGTGATGTTGACCGGGACTCAGAGAAGATTTAGGATTCCATAGTTGTACGGCACTTTCCATGTTCAGTACTCCTTTCAGTCGGGGTTTTAACCCTAATAACCCACTTGGTTCGCAGCAATTTCAGAGTACACCACCGAAAAAAAAAAAAAAAATTTGCGATCTTATTACCACTAATATATAACTAATATACAACTAAAATAAGAGTAGTTTATTAGTCGTAATAAATTGTATATTAGTTATATATTAGTCGTAATAAGGTCGCAAATTTTTTTTTTTTTTTCGGTGGTGTACACTGAAATTGCTGCGACCCAAGTGGGTTATTTGAGTAATATTCCCCTTTCAGTCATCGATAAAAAAGTTGGCCATTTTACTCAAATGACCCCAAGATATTTGTCTGTTCGAAAATAACTTTGTTATTAAGACTTCATAATTAATTCTAAATACAGTTACAATTGATTCTAAATAAGGTGACAAAAAATTCATCTGTCGAATTTTAAAAAAAGCTACATTTTTTTTATACTTTCATCTCTATACGATCATAACTGTATATCAGTTATATGTTAGTTGTAATAAAGTCGAAAAAATGAAAAAAAAGGATATTTCGAATTTTTTCAACTGGAAAGTGGCGTAAAAATTGAATTTTTTTTTTTTTTTGGTGTACCTGTAAAACTGCTGCGACATGCGACCCAAGTGGATCATTTGAATAAAATGACTGAAAAAGTTGGCAAAAGAGAAGATTCGTTGACGGATCAAAAGCACCGGAAATTTTCGAATTCCTTTATTATATTTTCATCCACAAAAATTAGTATCTCCAATTTTGTCCCAACCTGTTATATATATATACACACAAATAAAATCGTATATAATATATGAATTTATAAAAAAATTATAAACAAATACACAATATTTAAAAATTTTAAAATTAATGCATAAACTTTTTCTAATTTCTATATTATATTCGAAAGTTTTTAAAAACAATAAAATAAATCATAAACTTTTAAATTATTCAAAAAACGCCATAAAATTATATCCTAAACTTTTAGATTACTTTCAAATTACTACTATGATATAGTGTTTTTTTTAAAATTGATATATAAATTGAGAATAGCGTGCATTTGTTTTTTGAAAATTTTAAAATTTATATATTTATTAGACATTTTCTACAAGTTCGTATATTGACATGCAATTATATATATATATATATATATATATATATATATATGAATGTTACATGATTTTCAAATGTATCTTTGAAAGTTCCGTAGTTTAGTTAAAAAAAATGAGGTGTAAAAGGTTAAAACAATTGAGATGTGAGATGGATACGCAAAATTTTAAAAAACAAAACTCTATATTTTAACTGCATTAGGTTTTTTTATTAACATTTTCCTACACGAATTTAGCCAAATATGATTTTTTATATATGTATTTTTAATTTGACAAAAACTACATTTTAATTCAAAATTTTTCAAATATCTACACGACTTATTAAAATTAACATTAATTACATGCATAATCATTATTTTCGTTAAAATTTTTCGAATTCCGTTAACTAGCTGATATGTATGGTAGTTATAGTAATTAACTAACTAATGTATTAGTTAACAGAATTCAAAAACTTTTAACGAAATAGATGATTATGTATGTAATTAGTACTAATTTTAACAATTTGTACATACATCTAGAAAATTTTGAATTAAAATATAGTTTTTTATCAAATTAAAAATACATGTATGAAAAGGTTATATTGATTAAATTCGTGTAGAAAAATATCATTTTTCCTTTTATAAAATACTAAAGATCAATCATCAAATTTTTAAAAATAACTAAAAGTAAAATAAACAAAGAGAAAAAAAATACAATTTTGCTATTTGAAACATTTAACCAAGATGGACATCGTGATAATTTTCATCTTTCTTCTTTACCAATGTTTTCTTATTCTTGCTCATCCACCAATATGAAATCTACCTTTCCTTTGCTATCTTCCATTCCCCAAATGGGTCATTTATTAACCTTAACAAGATATCTTGTTAACTTAAGAACATTCTTCCAAAATATATTTAGAAAAAAAATTATGCCATTTTTTTCCTCCCTATTTGGATTCATTTCATTCTTACTAGATAGTTTTATTTTTAAATTATTCTTTTGTTTATGGAACCAAACAAGCATAATGAAAAATGTTGCCAACCGTAGGCCTATCTATGCAAGTGGTTGGTGTTGGTGTAGATACTCTAAGATAATCTATTTTATAATGATTACATTGGATAAATCTATTGTCTGTTTATCATATGATTTGTATTCGTTACATAACAAAATCGTTTGAAAAGATTATAAATTTTCTATTCATATGAGACGTGATAGAGGTCCATAATAATCATCATATACATTAAATACAAATTATGATCATAAGTATTTGTTTGGAACATAACAAAGTACCGAATAACTCGTATATTAGATTGTCATATGGACTGAATTAAGATGAATGTCATATAATGATTCGTTTAGGATCCTTATATCTGGAATATCTCCAGTATCCGAGAGTAATGATCGTCTTTAATTGAATGATCATAAAACTTATAATCAAAACACATTATTAGTCACGTGGAGAATAATAGATGATTAGTATGAGATTTATTATTCTCGGTTGAGAGATATCCCTGCATTCCTGGAACAAATTAAACTAAAGAAATATATGATTGTCATCTATTAGTATAAATCAACTCAACGAACGAGAAAGCAAATTAACGTACGGAATTGAAAACAATATATACTTGCAAACAAACGCACACGAAATCAAACGGACACTAAACCAAAAAAAAAAATCAATGTGTGATGTCATGGATTGGGGATCACTTCAACGTCGAAGGTTAGTTGTCGGACGACATTGCCATCGTGCGGAGTTTGGTGTGTCTGCATCCTACGAGTCTCTGTTGTCGATTCACCTTTGTTCCTCGTATCTTCGACCCAGAGATCAATTGCTGAATGCACTAATTCGTCGAATATCCCTTTCTTGAATTTGCTACCCATCTTTGTTTATGAACACACACCACACAAAACGGTAAATTATTATTATTATTATTATTATTATTATTATTATTATTATTATTATTATTATTATTATTATTATTATTATTATTATTATTATTATTATTATTATTATCATCATCATCATCATCATCATCATAGACAAGGACCATTTATATATATATGACGTCCGAGACAAGGTTTATGCAAGTCAATCCACACCACAAATGAAAGTTAAAATTTCTGAGAAAAAAAATTGTGTACTTTTTCAAATAATGTTTTTATGGATAAATTAATTGAAATTGGTTTTTAGAAACAATATAAAAAAAATATGATTTTGTATATAAATATCCATATACATCACGATTTTATATAAATGTGTGAGATGCAAATTCCAATTTTGTATCGTGATTGTGATATCTAATTAAGTTATCGAGTTTACAATAAATGTGTCCAATCGAAATTCTATGTCAAACGCGCGTTTCATTGGACGCATTTTCTTAATTTTGATGACTTAATTGGCATTATATCAAAAATACCCTTAATTTGCTATTTCTACTTCAAGACCTACCCTGGTCACATGTGACCAATGTGACCGAAATATAGTATGATCACATTTTGATTTTTATCGATTATAACGTTAAATTTATGGTGATCACACTAATTCATTATATTCATACCTTGTATATCTTACTAATCATTTGATTAAAACATCATAAATTTAACGTTATGAACAATGGGATCAATATGTGACCACACTATATTTCGGTCACATTGGTCACATGGTCACAAGGGTAGGGCTTGAAGTAGATATAGCAAATTAAGGGTATTTTTGATAATGCCCCGACTTAATTGGATACACCGATACACCAATATTGAATTGTGATTTATTTGAATATTAAAATAAAAAACCATAATTTTTTTAGATATTCACGTTTAAACTAGTAACTGGATTAAATATATATATGTATTTTAAATTTCGGAATTTCTCCCACAAATTAATGCAAGGATTATAACATCGAAAAAAACGGAATTATCAAGGTGGTGGATGAAAATAAAATTATGAAATAAAAGTAATTCCATATCATTTTGGCCCATTTCCATTTCAATGCCAAAACACTACTTACCTGTGTAACAAGAGCATACAGTGGCAATGTACTGTAACTGCAGAGCACTTGGACCAACACTCTGCAAATGCATGAACTAAATAAATGAAATAAACAAAATAAAAAAAAAATTTATTTTGGAGGTTTTGAAAATATCACATACCCCATGACAAGTCTTGGGATGAGGAAGCCTAGCCTCTCCATAATGCAAGACTTTATTCCATAAGTGAACTGATGAGCAAATTGTATCAAACATTAGCAAGTATATGTATACAGAGAGAGAGAGAGATATGGATTGAAACTGTGTATAACATATGGTTACGAATGTGACCGAGAATGGATGGGAAGTACCAATATCCAGAAGAAGAAAGCGATCTCGAACGAGTTTTGGAAGAGAATGAAATGGATGAGGGAGAGGACGATGCTCGGCCGATGGAACCAGAAGAGCTCGTCCGACGGTTTGATGGTTCTTTCGGATTCTTGCTCACGGTTTCTCTTCTCCGAAACGTCCAACGCCAGACTGCTTATGATGTTTTCCAACTTAGCTCCCACCATCACCAAGAGCTGCACAAAAAAGGGGTCCGGTTCAGAATCGAGAATCGCAGTCTTCAAGCTGAGGTTAAGGGCCGAAAAGACTCACGATTAGCGGTAAGAACGACAGCCAGAAATACGTATTCCATCCTGCATTCTGCATCTTGTCAGGTACCGGGTGAAAACTCTCTTGTTGAGAATTATGAAGAGTTTCAATTCGTGAAGACTTCAGATATTAACGTGTTTTATTAGAGATCCGTATATAGTGATAAAATATCAGAGATCCGTATATATCTATGTTTCTTATTCGGTTTGAGTTTATCTATCCCTTACCATACTGTGAATTAGAAATTCTAATGAGAGGAAGCTACATTGTATAATTAAACTAATTACCGAAACTCTTCATAATTCTCAATATCTCTCGTGATAAAAAAGAGAAGTTTGCAGATCGGAGAAGTGAAACTCACCTCCGACATCCAGCAGCAAAAACACAACGACGAATAGCCAAAGATACCAACTGTATATATGGCAAAACCGTAAAACCATGTGTTAGGACAAGTGTTGTGAATGCTCAGGACAACAGCATAGTTACATTGATGTTCTTTTATGTATTATTACCTTATGCCCACAACCTTTTTGAAGTCTATCTCAAGAGTCCTTAGCATGTACTTGTGAAAATCGAATTTTCGGTTCGAGGGGCAGTGAGTCTGTTCAGAGAACGTATTAATCCATACGCCTAAGGATCTCGGCGGCGAACCATATATAGATAGATGTTTGATGTGGGGATTTCAATACCATGATGAATCCATTCCTTAGAGCTATGTAGTCCGACTTTGTGACCGACCCGTAAAACTGCTTGAAGAATGATCTCTGTACGTATTTGAACAAACGCAAACGGCTTTCGTCAAAGAGAGATTCGATTCTCATTCATTAGGTAATGAGATTCAAACATTAAAGGGCTCAATCCAATTTCAATGAGTCGCCTTATATTGCGTGAAGATAGAGATAGAACTCACTAGCCAACTGACAACAACGGCTCGTCTCCAGAATCCACCGGCATGCGTCTCAAAGAACTGGTGATGATGCGCATGAGTGCGCTTCCGTGAGCCTGCAACTGCCATTTCCTCAATATTCTTGGTACAGATCATATCAAACCGTTCTCGGAAACAAGAAACGTAAAACTCTCACCCGTTTCAGAAGGGTTTTTCTTGATCCAGTCCTCCCATTGTTTCCACTGCTGAATCTGAAATTTTTAAGCCAAAGGACGGGTTAAAAGACTTGATCTCTCAAGCGTTGTAAGTAATCATTACGTTCAAGGGCAGAAATAACGATCATTACCCTCGCGCCTCCAAGAACCATTGTCGTGGCACAGAAAATCACGTGAAAAACCGCTAATACGAAGATGAAGATGTGCAGTTGGTGCAATGCTTCGATCGTTACTAATGGAACCTTCCCCTGCAAAAAAAAACGACAAACCTCGATCTATCAAACCAAAAGTACTTCAGAGTTGCGAGTAAAGTTGAGAAGGGGAAAAGGGCACATTGCCTTTGGAGCACAATGGTCCGGCGAAGCTGTTGAAAGGAGACGTCGGCCATTGAAGAAGATAACCGAATGAGAAGATCCAGCGTGATGGTTGTTCTCGGAAGGCTTCTTGCAGGGGAACATGTTGTCTACAACGGCCGGTGGGACACATATATGGCTTATCGCATTCTGAGAAACCGTCAGCAGGAGGGAAATAAAACCGAGCAGCATCAGTTCTGTACGTAAGGACAGGTTGTAAATCTTTCAGGTTTAGGACGTTCATACATATACGTATACATCACACGCAAACAGCCGTGTCGTATAATAAGACGTTTCATATTCGAATATATACGCGTACGGACCTTCTTTCAGTTTCTGCAGAGCCTCGAACAACGCATCTTGCCGCCTGTGCTTCAGACACTGAGCTTCAACGAGAATCGTTACAGGATAGGACAAAAGGGTACAAGGCAAAACAATTATACGCATAAAAAGAGCATTTCGGTTTCTGACAAATCTCTGTCTACCTTTCCAAGGCGGTGAAGGCCGCGTTCAGCGAGAAGGGACAATGTAACAATGACGAAACAGATGAAGGCGACGACCCATGTGGGAGTATATTCAAGAGAGCTGCTTTCTGCCATTTTTATTCATCAATGGAGGAAATGCGATGTTTTCCAGCTGGTAAAAACAAGAGGATATATACAGATGAAAACAAACAAAAACAGTCATAGAATAAGAATAAGAGGCAATTGGAAGAGATCAGAGGAAAAGAATAGAGAGGACAAAACACAGGGGAGAAGAGAGCAGACACTGCAAGTAATCCCAAGGAGTTGTTGCTTGGGATGCAAGAAAAGGACATAACAGCTTCCTTCTCTTTCCCCCGTCACTCCACAACTCATAGATGCTTTGCAAGGAGGGGAGGCATCTGATTCCCAATGATTTCCCCCCACATATTTTTTTTGCGGGTAAAATCCCTCCCGAAATGTTTACCATGATCGCATCCTCATTTCCTGACAAGAAGAAGCCCACCTACAAAGACCTGATGACAGGTGTGGAGGGAATAACTGGAATTTTAATGGTCGTCTTGATGGCGATAGCATTCACATCGGCATCGAAGCATTTCAGGAGAAATCTGGTGAGGCTTCCAGCACCATTCGATCGGTTGACAGGATTTAACGCTTTCTGGTACACTCACCACCTTCTAGTGATCGTCTATGTCATGCTTCTTGTACATGGGACCTTCTTGTTCTTCGTTCAAAAGTGGTATCAGAAAACTGTAAGCTGCAGCGAACTCAGATCTGTACTATAGTAATCCGTATTCAGACAACCTAAGCATATACAGCTGGACTTGTTCCACTGGATTCACATCTGATATCTGAAATATTTGATACTACCGGTAAAAAAAAACTGTTCAGGAATGGAAGAAGCTAGCTCAGCATACAAAAGGAGATGGCTGAAAAATGGATATGAGAAAAAAAAATCAATGCTTTTTAATGAATACGTGGTTCATTATTATACAGATACAGATACAAATATATATGTATACATCAAAAGAACAAAAAAAAAAAAGATCAAACAAAAACAGAAAAGAAAAAGAAGACCAAGTTTTGTTTGATAATTTTAGCTTTCAGACCAGATTTATCCAACCAAACCAAAATCCAGTTGTAATTTGGTAGCTCCATCTTCTGTTTATCTCTTCATTCTTCTCACACCATCCTCAAGCCATTGAAGCTGTGAACAGAGTAACAATAGAGGAAACAATGTAAAGTTTCTTAAGGTCTCCAAGGCGCTGGAGGCGGCGGGGGAGTTGGGAACATAGGAGGAACAGCGGAGAAGATCGTGTTTTTGTCGATGGAACCAGAATCTTTGTCACCCGATAACGCCACGAGGGCTGCGACCAGACCAGCGTTGCCGGCGAGAGTCGGCTCGGTGTAGTTGTAATTAGTACGGATGTCATGGAACCCGTCCCGCTTGTCAGGACCAGCGACCATGGCTCCGACTATCGTGTTTGGGTTTGGATTTTTGCTGTCCCTCCATTTCCATCCTCCTTTGCAGTTGTATCTCACTTTGTTCTTAGGAATTGAAGCCCCTCTGTGGTGCACGTGTTTCGGGTATCGGTCGCCAAAACCCACAACGTAACTCATTTTTCGAGGATTTTTTCCAAGGATGTAATCAATCTGCCAAAAAAAGGCAGAAATGGCCATCACTCGCTGTTGTGCTAGAAGAATCCAGCCTGGTGTTGTAAAGGGGGGACGGAAGGCGTACCTGAGTTTTTGCAAACTCGCGTAGGACATCGGTCGAATAGAAATTAGGTCCACAGTACCATCCAGGAGTATCAGCAGCGTCGAGATAATCACTGTACAGTGTTGCTAAGAAAGCCGCATTTACAGCATACTGGAGAGGCTGTGGATCTCCATGGTTCAACTCGATCAAACCTCCTGCAGAGATCACGATAATGGCAAAGAAACCACAAGGTCAATTCTCACAGTCTGGACCCTTGAAGTGATGCTAACCTCTTTCTCCTAGGGGTCTCTAATCTGATACTTTACTTGTTACTACGTTTGCGGTCTCAATGGCTTTTTTGGTAATGGTGGCTATTTAGCTTGCATTTTGTAAAAGTTGGGCCAGTTTTGTAGATTTTAAAAGAATGAAATACGAATCTTTGACAAAAAAAAGAAAAGAACAGATCACAAAAGGAATTCAATAAGACACAAAAATCAAGCAAACAGCAGATAACTTACCCCGCGTTCGGTTAAATTTGTTGAAATACGGCAGGTATGAGCACATAACTATGCTTGTTTGATTGTGAAAGGTCCTCAGGATTTCTTCATACGGATATCCAGGGCTTAGGAACAATCTCAGCCGGCTCAACAACAGCTAAAAACAGAAAGATCAAACATTATGTTTGTGGAACCCCATAATACTGGCAGAAAGATCAAACATTATATTTGCGAAACCCCATAATACTGGCTACGCTCGCAAAGCCAGCTTAGGGTATGCCATAAGCAAAAAACCAGTATGAAATAAGTAGATTTTAATCTCAGACCATGCTTTGGTTATGCCCAGAGAAGACAAAAGGTTCCCAGAAACCAATTTTCCCATCCATTGCATGCACTTGTTAAACATTCAAGAACAAGGGCGTAATAAGATGTCTCAGAGACTGACCTGAGCACCAGCAAGTTTGTTGTCCCAGCTAAATACGCCGTAATATGAGCCACCCCAGAAGGCACCAGCATGTTTGGCCATAGTGGGTTTAGTGATTAGCTCAAGGTAGGTATTGTTTCCAGTAGCATAATACAACCAAGCCCCTCCCCAGATGAACTCATCCCAGTACATGGATGAATTATAGAACTTGCTAACTTCAGCATTACCAGCACTGTATCGGCCCCTCCGGCCCCTTGCAAATTGATAGAGCGTCTTAGCACCATGGACGAGCTTCTGGGAATATGCTTTGTTGTCCTTGAAGACAATGGATGCTGAAGCCAAAGCAGCAGCCATCTCTGCAGCAAGATCCGAGCAGCCACCATTACATGTAGACACGGGCCTTTCATAATCGATATCCTCAGGCCTCATCCAGCAGTAATGGTCATTAGGAGTTGTACTTCCTTCAGAAGTATCCCCAGATCCAACCTGTGCAAAGGTTGACAGCTTCAGATGATTAATTGAACAATCTGAGTGAAGGTGTGTATCTCAATCAACTTTGCAAGCAAAATCGACCTAAGATCTCTGTATAACATCTACAAATCGAAAGGACTACTACAATATATCACCTGTGTCACCAAACTATCGATTGAATCAGCAGTACTATTGAAGTTCTTGAGAAAATAGTCCGTTCCCCATTTGATGATCTCTTTAACATGGTTAAGCTCACCAACGGCTTCGTATTTGGCACTGTATTCGATGACACTCCAGCTCAACATGGTCATGGCAAAAGACATGGGGAAATTGAACTTGATGGTATCTCCTGCATCATAATATCCCCCAACCAGATCTTTGTAGAAGCTCCCTGAAGTTCCCTTTCCATCTTGCAGGCCAGAATTACCCCTCCATGACACGTTATTGTGCTTCGGTAGTTTCCCAGCTGCAGAAGGAAAGAATAGAGAAGGAAATCAGACTTGAGAATTCTTTCTATTTCCATAATTTTCATCAGCAAAATACCAAATTTCTCAACTAATCTGAATTATGGTTCGAAGCTTCAGGCTCGTAAAAACCTCATAAACAAAAAATCAAAGTTCACCACGGATGGATCAGATATGCAACCGCAAGTCTGCAACAAAGAATTCGGCCTCCATGATCAACATTTAACCATTTCATTACATGGTAAGCGAGCCCCAGATCCAGTAATTTCAGTAAACAAAATAAGACGAGATTAGATCAGATCTTGCAAAACTCATGTGCCAAAATAGTAACCAAGATACTGATCAGTAAAGAAAATTCTCGATTCCAGGGGTTTTCGAATACTCACATTTCTGAGCATTGAAGAACATGAGAGCCTTGTGGAGAGCGACAGTGTAATTATCCGGCGGCGGGTGCTTGTGGTGGTGACGCGGCACAGTTTTCACGATCAAGGTGATAAATCCGGCGAGAAATCCGGCGGCTAGAATCGTTCCGACAGTCCAGACGAAGATCTTGCGGCTGACGATGATACAACCGAGATCAACATACTTCTTCTTCTTCTGCTCCGTCGGGCCAAGCAACCAGCTCTGCTGCGTTTCATCAAGAGGTCGAGACAGCGCTGCACGGTCGAGATCCTGAAGATTCCGACTACGATCGTCGTCGGTGGCGGAGTCGGCCGCATTGATCTCCAGCGGACCGCCCCATGGATCCCGTCCGTACATGCTCAAAGTCTCCGAGAGATCGAGAATCCAATCACCGTTTCCCGAGCAGATCTGCCAATGATAGTGTCGGAGAGAGTGAGAAGCGAAGGAGGTGAAAGCGAAGAAGAAGAAGAAGAACAGCTGTGTTGTGGCTGTAGGAGGGAAAAAAAAAGATGAGCTCTTTGAGTCAATAACGTACCATGTGGGGGGCGACTGGGTTATTATTATTATTATTATTATTATTATTATTATTTGGTCGTTTTTTAAATGTTACGCTACAGATGCGGAAATTATTTACATGTTTTTAATTAATTGAGTGGGAAGGGTTGGATACAAGTGAACGTCTAGACCAAAGTCACCAAACAAATTTAAACCGAAATCTATACCGACATAATTTAAATTAAATTCAATCAATTATTAATAGGACTCGACTACAATATTAAAATTTTAAACATCGAGATAAAAAAATAGTAATTATTTAATAAAATAGTTTTTTTATAATGTTTTAATTTCGACTAACTTGTAAGAAAACCGAAGAATTTGCACACAAACCGGAAACCGAATAAGGCCAACCAGTGGATTGAATAATCATATTTAATTAATATCAAATATAAAAAAAAAGGAGTTGTTGGTTCTGTCTGTTGGATGATAAAGACGTATTCACAAACTCAGACGCGGACATTGTCGGTGGACGCATATTTTAATATTTTTCACTTCGGTCACTTGTCTCTTTCGAAATTATTTTTTTATAAAATTATTTAAACATACAGATTCGTAAGTCCTTTTAATTTACATTTTTTTATTGGCATATAATATATAATTAGCTCTTAACGAAAGATTACTTAAAATTTGTCCAAATTTTAAAACTATTTGGAAATCTATCTCGAATTTAATATCTTAATCCCATCTGTTTGAAAAGAAATGTTTAAAAAAAATCTGAATTGATTTAAAAGTCTGAATTATAGAAATTAACTTTAACACCCATATTTACGGTAATTAAAATTGAAAAGTTTCCTAGTCATGTAAATTGTAATGATTAAAAAGAATGGTTACCAAAGAAATGGCAATTTGAGTGGCAAATCCGAATAAATGTGGTTAACTTTTTCAGCCATTTTCATGTTTTTTTTTAAATTCATAGTTTCTATCGATTTGCTTAATAAAGATTCACGGTTACATAATATTTGTGAGGAATCATGAAAAGAAGTTTTACCTTAAATTTTTCATCAATTGTGTAATAGCGATAAAAATAATAATTCAGATAATTGGGAATACTTAATCATTTTGTGTAGTTAATATAATGCTTAATTAATTGGCATTTTAGGTAGTTTAGATCAGGATCCAATCCAATCCAACCAAGGTTGCTTTGTATTGGGGTTTTATAGACCTTTCACCCACCGTTTTGGTGATTGTTGTTATTATTATTATTATTATTATTATTATTATTATTATTATTATTATTATAGGCGGTCCATGTAAAGTAAGATGTCCAAAACATTGGTACCAACTTTGGTCTATGCGTGCTAATGCTTAACCCACACCCTCTCCTTCCTAATGGTATCAACCCTCAATTTTTCAATTTTGGAAAATTTTTTATTTTTTTTTAAAATACAATATTATTTAAATTATCTAAAATAATATCTAAATTATTCGATGAATGTCATATTAAACCAACCGAATTAACTTAAATTACGAAATATCAACATGACGTGTAAATGCCGAGTTGAAAACAAAATCACATGGTGAAACCTATATATTATGGATACTGTGGGTGTGGATGAGTTGAATGTACATAAATGGATTGATAAATTATATGTATTTATATTGATAACGTTTGGTTTTATCCATTAATGTAATTAAATGCAAATTATATAATAAGTGACCATTAATATTAGTAGTATCTTTTCTAGTTATTTTATTGAAATGAGAAGTCTCGTCTTTTCAGAATAATAAGTTTAAATAAAAAATCAAATAAGTTAAACTCCTTCCGTTTAAATTTATAACACGTTTTAGAGTTATTTTTTGTTTCAAAACAAACGATATTTTTCTATTTCCAATGTATTTTTTAATTTTTTTCAAATTTGTCCATTATTAATAGCAGTCAAATATTCTACATGTATAATAGTTCTACATTTTTTTATTTTTAGACTCTAATAATTGTTCAACAATTAAATACATTTACTTTTTTTAATCTTATTTAAATCTGCATGGATTATATTAAAAATACTAAACTTCAAATAATTTTATAGTTTATCAAACTCATCACTCTTCAAAATCCAAACAAGATATTAAGATGAAAGCGGAGAAAGAGAGGTAATTTTGTGAAGCAAATTCCAACAAACCAAAAAAGGTATTTCTAACATCAAGTATGAATTTGATTTCAACAAGTTGTATTATAATGATGGAGAGCTCCATCATAATAAGAAGATTCAACAAGCAATAGTGGATATGTTGAAAATTATGTTTCCAAAATATTTTTAGATCAATTTGGGAGACGACCAAAAAATATAAAATCAAATACTAAGTTGTTAAGAAAATTTTCGAAACATAATTTTCAATATATCCACAATCACTTGTGAAATTATTATGGTAGAGCTCTCCATTATGATAATACAACTTGTTCAAAGGCGGCTAATTGGAGGGAAGAACATCAGTATGATGATTTTTAACCGAAAAAAAAAGAATTACAAAGTTTAAAAAAAAATGAGTTTCAGGTGAGTTGAATATTTATTTAAACTAACTTCATTATCTTACTAAATATTTATAAGTTTTCATTCTTTCAGAATGGTGTTTGATAAGGACGGTTATTTCCGACTTACTCGGAGATGTAGAATTAGTTACAATAAGTATTATTGTCTCGTTTTGTTTATAAAAAAATTTATTTTATATCCCGAATGAATATGAATTTAGTATGTAAATGGAGCACGTGAATCGATATTCTGGAGCACGGGATACCATTCGGTGAAGAGACAAAGTTGGAGATGATTCGGATCATTGAAGGAAAAGAACTAACGATTTCGATCTACGAAATAGGTAGACATGATAGAATTCTAGCGGATGTCCATTTCGATAGAAATTTTGTACATGTATCTATCATTATTATATGTTAGCTAAAATCGCTTCTCTCTAATAATAAAATTTGATGGTTTAATTGTAATAACCCGAATCCAATTTGGAATATTTAATTAAATTCGGAGAAGAACGATTATATAAACGGGTACTAGACCTTAAGAAATGGACCACAAAGTGTTGGAAAAAGACCCAAAAACCGCCCCGAGCGAACGAGACGAGAAAACGACAAGAGGAAGGAAGAATATGTCTAGACCGATCGGTCTAGCACGTAGACCGACCGATCTTGACCATAGCGAGACCGATCGAGCAAAAAAAAAAACCTCTGGACCGACCGGTCCAGGCGAAGGAAAATATCAGGCGACCTTGCATTATTGGACGCGACATACATGCGTCAAAAGGAGCCTAATTAGCCGCCTAACCCCACCCTAAGCGTAGTGGGGAGACACCAGCTCGTAATCCTACTCCCCTGTCTGCACTAGAGCTCCCCCATCTTCCCTAAAAACCCTGCAAAAGAGAGGAGGTTAGCCATTGTTGCTGGAAAGTTTCAGAGAAGAAAAAAACAAGGAAAAGAGAATAGAAGAAGGAGGAGGAGAGGAAGGAACGGGGAAAGGAGTTCGGGGGAGCAACAGGGACAGCCCTAGAATGTCTGAGAGGATCGCCGACGTCGGAGTCGCCGGAAAACTCCATCAACTCCGGCCAAAACCAGAAACAGTTCTGGTTTGAGGTGAGTGGCTAGAGTTGTCTCTGTGAAGCTCATTTTCATCGTTGTTATGGTGTTAATTCGATGAAACCTGGACATAATTAGAAAGTGGAAGTTGCAATGAACACATAGAAACAAACGGCACTCAATTTGGACAAGAAACGAGTAAGTTACGAGCCAACGAAGTCGGACCAGAATCTGGGACGAAAATCGCGAAATTGCGATTTGTCTCCAGGCTCTGGACTGATCGGTCCAGGCTCTGGACCGACCGGTCTAGACCCTGAAAATGCCGAAGCGGACTAAAATTATCTGGACCGACCGGTCCAAACCCCGGAAATGCCTGGACCAACCGGTCCAAACCCAAAACACGCCGAAAATGCTCGAAATGACCTAGACCGACTGGTCCAAACTAGAAAGTGATGAAATTGAGCCAAAAAGACCTTGAGATGAAATATAAACCTAGGAATCGATTAACTATGTGAAAACGAGCCGAAACATGACAAAATGTAAAAGAGAAGAACTGGAATAAATTAATAAATTGAATGCGTGGTGAGATGTGACGGGCGTGAGAGGCGCTCCTAGTCATGCGATGTGACTAGGGTTTACGGCTAACCCTATGGTGCGAAGCCATACGGGACGTGATTGTTGCGCGAAGCAATGGCCAACGTCATGAGATGTGACGGGTATGAGAGGCGCTCCTAGTCATGCGACGTGACTAGGGTTTACAGCTGAATCTATGGTGCGAAGCCGTACATACTTGATGGTCGTGAGACGCGAAGGCCAACGTCATAAGATGTAACAGGCGTGAGAGGCACTCCTGGTCATGAGAAGTGACCAGGGTTTAGGCTAGCCCGGTGGTGTGAAGCCATACGGGAATTGATACGATGATGTGTTTATATGATATAAATTTATGTTTAATATTGAATAGTTATATTTTGTGTTTTATCGTTTTAATATCGTTCTCGCTGGGAACGAGTTTACCGGATCCAACCCGGATCATTCACTAAGCAGTTGTGCTTAGCCCTCGTGGTTTCATATTTTTCAGATCACGAGGAGTACGAGTAGCACGTTTGAGGTGATGAAGACTTCGAAGAGACAACATCGTGTACGGGGTTTTCCTTATTTGTAAGATTTGAACTATGGGAGACGATCTCTATGTTTGTATGGTTGTACTTTTTCAATTCGAACATGAGTGTTTAAGACTTGAATGCTGTTTAATTCCGCTGCATGTTTGATATTAAAAAGTTTTAAAATTCCCGTGACGGGAATCGGGATACGGGTGTCACATTAATGATGGAAAAAACAATGGTAAAAAAAAGATCTAGATATCATCCTAATATTATTAATATACCGTAACTACACGATTATTAATTCAGTTGATCCTCTTCTTTTTACATTCACATAGAAAGA